GGGGAAATAACTTATAAGGGTAAGTATGTTTCAAAAACGTTCAAAAAACACCATCCAAGTTTGTCTTGTTTAAAAAATGTCATCTAAATAATCGTTTTGTGCAAAAAGCACCAAAGAACTTTATGTTTTATTCAAATTGCATCCACTAGTAACCAACATCTATAGGTAAAAGAAAAGTTATTACGTGTAAAAAATAATCAAGGAAAAATAAAAGTGACATGGAATTCCTATGTGGATTAAGGGAAATAAATTAACTTAAGGGGGGAATGAAGTACATACGCAAAAAAGTTATCTAGGATTTGATCGACCCACCCTCTTCTGCTCAAATCTATATATGCCCATGTTTGTAGACTCTAATGTAATTTTGATCAAATTGCCCCTACAGACTCATATATATTTGTCTATGGTCAAGGGTATAAATGTCATGTGTTATATAGTTCTGAATGAAAATGTACTAGATGCATAATATACAGACTCCACGTGTTATATGATAAAACACACAAATCAGAACACAATTATAAGATGATAGATGAAACAAATATGATTGAATTATAAATCACCATTATTGAAAGAAGAAACAGAGCATTTCTCTGATACCATGTTAACTAGTTTGAGAAGAAATGAGAGAGAGAGAGAGAGAGAGAGAGAGAGAGAGAGCTTCTAAATTTCTCATTAAGCTACCTAAAAATAGATTACATCATTATATACAAGCTTATACTAATTTGTACATTCTAACATACTCACTATTCTACCAACTAACTATAACAAACTAATTGTAAAAGTAACAACAAACAAAATTATATAATTACTTAAATACTCCCAATAATGACTAATTGTGCATCTGTAACTAAATGTGATGTATTATGCATATGTGCATCTGTGACTAAATGTGCATATGTGTCATGTATGTTACAAATAAGAATTTTTGGTATATCTTTGAAAGTAAAAGTAATACATGGATACATGTTTCTTGATGAAGTGTCAAAAACTCATTTGTATAACTCATGGTATTTGACAAAAATACCCCTTTTGGGTCATTGCACTTATGGCATATTAATGCAATGTGACAGATTAAGCAATGCACTTTATAGTTTTGTCCCTTCACAATTTTGATCTTGACAATTTGGACTTAGACATTTTTGTCGCTTGAGTTTGATAGTGATATTATACCCTTGACATTAGACATGAAAATTTAATTCTCACGAGTAATGAAAGTATGTTGTTATAACACATAAAAACATGCAATCAGGCATGAAAGTAAAAAGAAATTAAAGTGTGTTGCTATTTCATTTAAAATACATCACAACGGGTAAATGACAATAGTGTAATGTTATATTGGCTTAATATATCACGGTAGGTAAATGACAATGGGAGGGGGATGGATATTAGAGCAGTAAATACTTTCATGGTGTTATCAACAAGAACCTTAAGAAAAACAGAATTAATGGTTTTATTATTAGGGATCATTGGGAGACTGACCCTATGTGTATAAAGAATGAAGCTTGGAATTCTTTTCTTCTAAATTTGATGAGATTGAATTGGTGAGGCCGAAAATTATAAATGACAATTTTAAAAAGATTTCAATTGAAGATAGGGATATGTTGGAAGCTTCATTTTCATTGGATGAAGTCGAGAATGCAATCTGGAGTTGTGGCAGCGACAAATCCCCGGTACCGGATGGTTTCACCTTCAAGTTTTTGAAGGAATTTTGGGATGTTCTAAAAGATGATATTTTCAAGTTTTTGAAAGAATTTGAAGACATGGGAGAGTTAAGTATTGGTTGCAATGCCTCTTTTATCTCTTTAATTTTGAAGAAGCCCGGTCCTTTATTTTTAAATGATTATAGGCCGATTAATCTTATCGGATGCATGTATAAAATTCTTTCAAAACTTCTTTCTTGGGGACTTAAGAAATTTTTTGGAAAGATTATTAGCTTGGAGCAATCGGCGTATGTGGAGAGTAGAAGTATATTTGATGGTCTGCTTATTATTAATGATATTTTTTCTTGGGAGAAGAAGATTAAGAAACAAGTGCTTATCTTCAAAGTGGATTTCGATAAGGCGTTCAACTCTCTTAATTGGAGTTTTTTTTACTCGATTATTGACCAAATGAACTTTGGGGTCAAATGGAGAAATTGGATGAAAGGATGTCTCTCTTTTGGGAAAGCTTCCATTTTGGTAAACGGTTCTCCTACGAATGAATTTATTATTAGGAGAGGTGTGAGACAAGGAGATCATCTATCTCCTTTTCTTTTTATAATTGCCATGGAGGGTCTTAGCATCTCAATAAAGGAAGCTTGTGATCGGTTCATTTTTAAAGCTATTTCTTTACCTCATAATGGTCATACTTTATCTCACCTTATGTATGCGGGCAATGTTATGTTTGTGGGAGAATGGTCCAAAGTTAATTTTATCAATTTGAATAGAATTCTACGATGTTTTAATATGGCTTCGGGATTGAAAGTGAATCTTCAAAAAAGTATAGTTTTTGGTATTGGAGTGGACGATCTTGATGTTACTCGTTTTGCGAATATTCTTCATTGTGAGTCGGCTTCTTTTCCTTTTACTTACCTTAGGCTTCCTATTGGCGCCAACATGAAACTTGATAAGAATTGGAATATCATTGCGGATAGATTCAAATCAAATCTATCTTCATGGAAGGCTAGAAATCTTTCTTTTGGAGGAAGACTCACTCTTATTAAGTCCATTTTGGGGAGTCTTCCTCTCTTCTATTTTTCTCTTTTCAAAGCTCCATCAAAGGTGATTGAGTTATTAGAGAGATTAAGAAGGTGGTTTCTTTGGGGCGGGCACGATAACATACAAAGATACATTGGGTCGCTTGGGAGAAGGTTACGCAACCTAAAAAGTTAGGTGGTCTTGGTGTTGGTGATCTATGTTCTATGAATGTTGCGCTTCTTACCAAATGGTGGCGGAGGTTAAAAACTGAAAGTAACTCTCTTTGGACATCTTGCATCAAAGCCTTAAATAATACCTCTTGTATTGATGGGAAAACGTTTGCTAAGAAGGGTATTCCTGGTACTTGGCGAAATATTTTTCAAATCGCTTGGGAGCTTAAGGATTGTGATATCTCCCTTGAGGAGCTTTTTGTAGAATTTTGGGGATTGGTGATCAAAGTCATTTTTGGAAGGATAAATGGTGAGGTGATTTGACTTTAAAATATACTTTTTCGGGCTTATATAAGATTGAAGCTAATAAGAATTTCATGGTATCAGAGAGGTTTATGATTGATGAGAGGGTTGTGCTTATTGGTGATTGGAAAAGGCAACCAAGAAGGGGCATTGAAATCGAGGAGCTGATGAGAGTGAGAGATGTTGTTGCCGGTTCCTGCTTCTCTAATCGTCCGGACAAGTGGTTGTGGAAAGGTGATTCGACAGGAATTTTTTTTGTCTAGTCGTTTAGGAACCTAATGGAACAGAAGTTGTATGATGGCGGTAGTTTGCAGAGCTTCTTTTGGGTAAATTGGATTCCTATCAAAATTAACTGTTTCGTTTGGAGGGTGTTTTTGAACAGGATTATGGTGGCTTGTAATTTGGTCGATAAAGGGATTGTGCTTAACTCCAATGTTTGTGCGATGTGTGGAAATGATGAGGAGTACGTCGACCATGTGTTTTTATCATGTTCTTTTTCTTCTTTGATTTGGAATTGGTTTTCTTCTTGGTGTGGTGTGATCCCGTTAATTCCGAGTTGCATGGAAGATTTCTTGTTGTGCTTAAAAGCCTCGTTTATTGGTAAAAAGCAGAAGAAACTCTTTTTCGCCTTATTATATACGGTTTTGTGGTTCATTTGGAAGGCGAGAAACTCATTGGTGTTCAACAACAGGAGATGTTCCCATTTTAGAACGGCGGATGATATTCAATTAGTTGCTTTCAACCGGATCAAACATAGGTCTTTGTCTAAGTCTATTTGTTGGTTTGATTGGTGTATGTCTCCTTTTAATGATTGTACTTTGTAATCTTTTGCTAGCATCTTGCTAGTTCTTTAATGTATTTGTCGTTCCAAAAAAAATGTAAATGACAATTGATCCAAGTCATGATTGATTTATTATGGTCATATGAAACTATTTGTGATAAAATATAAACAAAAGACCAAGATACCCCTGTCACAAGTCTATATATATATATATATATATATATATATATATATATATATATATATATATATATATATATATAGAGAGAGAGAGAGAGAGAGAGAGCGAGAGAGAGAGAGAGAGAGAGAGAGAGAGAGAGAGAGAGAGAGAGAGGTATGTTGATTAAAGTGCTGTATACAGTTCTATTATATAAAGTGTTGTATACAATTTTGTATATAGGTCTATATACCGTGGTTACTTCCATTTTATTCAGATCTAGCTTCACTATCAATCCCTTGTATTTTAATGGTGTCTTAAAAGTATTTTAATGGTATTTCATTGGCATCCTAATTTCACAACCATACATCTACTAGTAGCGTAAAGTTAAGTTGGTCATTTTTTACATAAGTGAATTTTGACTTTGTTTGTTGTAATAGGCAATGGTACTTCATTGTTTGTAGTTTAATGCATCTGATGTATTAACGTCATTGGAGGGGTATTATTGTCAAGCTTTACTTCTAAAAGGTAAATTGATCATTTTTTTTCATTGGTTTTGTTTGTAGTTTAATGCATCTGTTGTATTAACGTCATTCCAGGGATATTATTTTCAAGCTTTACTTCTCAAGAGTAAAGTGGTCATTTTTCGCCTTAGTTTTGTTTGTAGTTTAATGCATTTGTTGTATTAATGTCAGGGGTATTATTCCATTGATCACGAAGATCATGATGTGAAAATTTGGCTTCGGCCGAATTATCTGACCTTTCATTTAATTTGTTGTTTTTTTAAACATACGGTCATATTTATATTTCAAAACAGTATATATAACACAATACAATATTAAAACAAATATGATATAATTATTGTAGTTATAAACTTATAACAATACAAAAATGTTGAAAATTTACACGTCACCTCAACCAAAGCACTGGTCACCGGGAACGGGAACCGGACCAGGGAGCGAACCCTGCTGATAAAACTGAACTCCAAACACCACCAAAATCGCCACCAATGCCAAGTACGACAACCCTTCAACACCACCCAACAACCCAAAAGGTCCATTAGGTAGACCCGACCCGGTTTTCGATTTGGTATACAAAGACCACCCCACAATCCCCACCACCACCAAGTAGCTAACGCCTTCCAATGCGCCAAGGGATCCGCCGGGACCAGGCGGCAGGCCGCAGCCGGTGGTCTTCAGGGTGTAAAGAGACCACCCGATTACTGGGTTCGCGATTAACCCACCGGCTATTGCCAGTTTCTCTGTAATCCCGTTGGTGGAAACTTCTTCGCCGGTTTGCTTAGCCATGGATCGGAGATTGAGACGGCGGCGAGAGGTGGATGACGATCGGTTGTACAGAAAGCATTGCGAAATGTAAGGTTTTGGAGGGATTGAGATGGAAGTCGGAGATGGGAGCAACATTTTTGAGAGCTCCATTCTTGGCGGAAGAGATAATAGGGATAATGTGATGAACGGTGTGTGATTTCATTTAGAAAATATGTTTTTTTGTGCTATATATATTTAATTTAATAAAAGAATCAATTATTATTAACTCAAATTTTGTTTCTTACCAATTCAATTAAGAGTGATAATTTATTATTAACTCGAATTTTATTTTGTTTAGTATATCACACCAAGTATATTTTTTGTGTTTTTTTTAGGTTGGCACGAACCAAATATATTTTACAAGCTAGTCTTTTAATAAATTGGCAAATGTCATATTAATCCATCGAACTTATCGTGTTTGTTCTAAAAGGTCACCCAAATTCTTTTTTGTACATTAAGGAATGAACTCTCGTTTTCCTGTTTTAAAACATCCTTATGTGACCTAATACCGGATAAGCGTGTAAAATCTATGCCTCGACCATTGTTTGACCATAACCTACGCCTCCATTGAAATATCCTAAATGTACTTCATGAACAACAAATTTGTGGTTAACCAGATTGTTAGATTTCACAAGAACGTAAATGGTGATGTTACATACAAGCAAATTAGGGGAGATTTTATCTTTTTCCATTACCGAGAAAACCTGCAACGTTTTTCTCCAATGGCCAGCCCAAGAACCCTTTTTTACCTCGGATCCAGGCCAGAAATATGTAGCCGCTTTGAGCCCTTGGTTCGCGACTGTGTCCCATATGGGTTCGCCTAGCCACCATTTCATGGCTGGCAATTGTGAAAGTATCACCTGCGATTGGATCAGTAAATTTGTTGTTTATGATTCCGTGATAAGCAGGGTATAATCCGGTGGCGATTGAGTAGTGATTTGGGAAAGTTAACGTTGGGTAAACTGGAATCAATCCATTTCAGCTTCGGTTCCGTTTTTGACTTAGTCGTTGGATGTTGGGTGTTGGGGTTTTACATTAGTACCTAAATCGGAACTGATCTGAGGAAATGAGGATGACGACTGAGTGAGTGAATTTACTGAGTGGACGGGCGATTTGGAGAGCGGTGGTGTTGTAGTGGTGGTTGGTGGATGTAATCGAGGAAAATAAAAGGAAGGCGAAAACGAAGGCGGCGGAGAGAGCGACGTGGGTGGTGAGGAGGAGGGAGAAGAGGAGGACAGTGGTGGTGGAGTGTTTTGTTGGGATGGTGGTGATATCTGTGTCGAATGATAGAAGTGAAGCAGATTGATTTGGTGTGTTTTCTTCTCCGGTCGGCACTGGTGAGGGTTTGATAGCATCTAAGCCCATTACAGAGAGAAAATTCCACACATATAAGAACAATTAAGGAAAATTCTTGATGGGGTTTTGAAATTGTGGGATTCTGTCACATATTTCTATTTTAAAGGGTATTGGTTCTGATTGATTGAAATATTTGGCTACAATGAGTTTAAAACCTGTTATAGTGGGTTAAGTGACTTTTTTAACAGGTTAAAGCAGAGTTCATTCTTTTAATATACAAAAAAAAGTTGGGTAACCTTTTAAAACAAATACGATAAGTTCGATGGGCTAATATGACATTTGCCCTTAAAAAAACTATTCATATTAGTGTTTAAGTAAATTTATTGAGTTTTTTTAAGTCTCTGAAATTTACATTTATTAATTATAAAAAGAGAAAATGACTAATTAGGTTGATTTTTCCAACCATTTTCCAGAAAAAAAATTTCAAAAATAACCCATAGCCATAGAGCACCTGCTAAAATCTAAGATTTTTGCAAGTGACGATATGTGAAAATCTTGTTTTTTACCTAATGTTTAATCTTCATAATTCTTTCATACAAACTTTGTTTTAGTTGAACTTATTTTTATTGTGTTCTTTGTAGCAAGTGCTATCAATGGACACATCAAATTCCAAATTTGGAGATTATAAAGTCATACTTTTTTTTAATTCAAATTAGGTTATTCGGTGAAAAAATAAAAAGTGATTCAACTTTTTACCTTCATCTTTCGCATATGAAACTCATTTGACATAACACACTCGGTATATGAATATCGAGAAGTCGTACTTTGTAAGCTCCAAAGTAGGATAGTTGCTATTTTTGAATTTTTTTTTCCAAATATCACCTTTTTACATACGGATAGCAAGATATCGTACTTTTTCTATGTATTGTTATTAGAATAAGGGTAACAAGTAGCCTTGACATAAAAGCGAAAATTAAGCTTTATTTCATCATAATTATTAGGTGTGAGATCACCAAAAAAGCCCCCTACGCATAAACAATTAGCATTATTGTCATTCAACGTTTAAACATAGTTGTATATCCTTAAATAACGATAAATATTATATAAAAATGTATTTACCCCTATTGAATCGATTATTTGTATTAATTAGCCTAAATGACTTTTTTTGAGCTGATAACTTTTTTTAATTTTATTATTTGTAACAAGGTTATACATAGACATATTACACTCCCAATTGAGATGACGGTAAGTCATACTTTTTTAGCTAGGCTATTCGGTGAAAAAAAAATGAAAATTTTTTTTTCATAACTTTTACATACGAACTTCATTTGATATAAAAATAAATTTGTCTTTTTGTCACAATAGGTATACATGGACATATCACACTTGTTATTTGGATATCGGGAAGTCATACTAGTTGAAAGAAAGATGATCAAAAACGAAATTTAATCAAATTTATTATAGGAAAAGAATATGGCATTTTGGTGAAAGTGTCTGATTCAAACACAAATTGGGTAAACGCTCTCGCTTTGTGACCCTCTACCTAGGGTTGTAAACGAACCGAACGAACATGAACGGGGGCTTGTTTATGTTCGTTCGTTTAAGTTAACTGAACAAATAAACGAACAAGAAATGATAAACGAACGAGTTTTTTTGTTCATGTTCGTTTGTTTAACAAATTATATTGTTATCGTGCGCATTATCGAGAACCCAAATTACGATGAGTTGGTTTGCGTTGGTTTAACAATTTGATTGCAACTTTAAGATAACTAAATGCACAAAATTTAGATATAAATGGTTTTTTATTCATCAAATTTTTCCATTTCACATTTTTTTATCAATAAAATTACAAATAGATTATTCTTATAATCTCTACAATTGAAACATATCGAGATGCCAATTCTCATGGATAGACACACGAACGGAAAGCTGCACCAACACGTAAAAACATAATATGTGTTAACCAAATCCAAAAACCATACTTCACTGTCAAATGTGCATTACTCATAATTTAAATCATTTCCAAAAAAAGAATATGTACATAAATAAAAATATTATAGGAAATGACTTACAAGGATCGGTAACAGCTATAGTGGCGAAACTCGGATCACATTCACCATTAACCCTAAAATTAAGGTCAATAGCATATGATGCATGATTTCGCACAGTATTCGGTTCATAACACGACCCTCCCCATGTAATGGGACGACAATCAATATACAAACATTTATTGTTCATAAACTGGATTAGTCGTTCTTCAGACGCATGGGTTTGAGCCACATACCATTCTTTCCCCTGTACAATCACCCAAAAACAATGAAAACAGCAGTTACATTATAAATAATAGTTTTTTAAAAAAAAAAAATCTTGAATGTACAAATAATTAATTCATAATATACTAGATTTGTGACTTGTAGGCATCTTACTTCTACATAAAAAGAACAAACAATGAGGAAACTAAAAACACACAATGAAAGAGATCTTGGTTCCATATAAAGTTTTGAACTTCAAAAACTCAAATAATGGAATGTGTTATTTTTGTGTGAATGTTTTGACTTATTCATTCACTTTCATCTTTTTATAAGACTTTTAAAGTGAAACTTATTTAGCATTTAACTATTGTAAGTTTTGTAACCGATTAAATGAACATTTCATTTTTTATGGTAAATGAATAAATGTATTTAACTTCAAAACTTAAGATTTTATAGCAATAGCTTTTCAATAGTCTTCATTTAAATTCATCTTGAATTCATTGTGCCAAACCCGTGATGCAAATGTTATTGATTTATTTATGAGTAATGGGTCTATATAATTTCTTTATACATTTAGTATGTCAAAAAATTAAATTATATTTAACATTAACTTAAAATACAAATAAGTAACAGCTTAACGGGTCTAAAATTTTCTACATTAAAATGCATATTATCATATAAATCAATGTATTAAAAGTCTTTTTTATCGTTATTTTTATAAAAATATAACTTTCTTAATCATATTTGATATATATATATATATATATATATATATATATATATATATATATATTATATATATATATATATTGGATTTGAGACTTCATAACCATGGAATTGTTTCTAGTAACAAGTTACAATGAAACATTCTGTAATATCGAAGGCTCGGTCTCTATGACTTTGGAAACTCAATATCATGGAAGGACGATGCATGTAAAGATGAAATTTCACTACATCTTATATAATGATAAGAATTTGGAATCGTGAATTGAGCATCATTGGACTAATTTCCAGTCGATATGTTCACAAAAGAAGGACCATCGAGAGGAATAGTATGCATGTTCATAACATGGCATGACTGATGTTATTTAGTTCAAGTGGTTAGTTGATTACTCGAAACATTATACAATGAATAAATTCATAATTTTTATGGTGATTAAATAATAAGGATTTATTTATATTCAATGGGTATGATACCGTAGTTAATTAATTTATTATTGTGTTTCACTTTGAATGTTTCACTTCCTGAATAATTTTATTATTCAAAGTTCAACAGTCGTTCATACTTTTGGAAGTAAGTAGTGACTCGAGAGTGTCATTAATCGATTGTATATTGTCCATAGAGATTGGAAATTACATGAGATTGCTACAATATTCATGAGTACTTAGAAAATGGAGATTTTGAGTATTGGATAAACCCACGCGTACAGATTACTTCATGAATTTTATCACGAGTAATTGTAAGATGATAATATCTTATATTCTTCAAGCGGAGATACATAAGTTGTAATTTGCAAGTCGGACGTGCATTGGTGTTGCGTAAACGTATCAATAACATGATGTTATAAAACGTAGTATCATGTATGATTTGATAAGTAAAGGTTACGGTTATGTAGTCAAAATTTAGTCGTTCCTTTTGCCTTATCAGGAAAAGCAATATCTTTGGGATTAAATCTATTATTTAATCAATTCAGATTTGGCTTTTCCTGCAAATTACCTAAACTATAAATAGGACCCGTTGAGAGCCAAATTTCGTGCATACTCTTTCCAAGAAGCATATGAACGAAAATTATACATCTCTCCACTCTTGTTTTCTAGTTTTAGGGTTTAGGTGTGAGTCATTAGAGACATCATTTTTTTGGTGCTAAGCTTTCCAAGACCAACAACTACAAGGGATTGAAGTGATTTGTTTACTACAATACATCCAAGGTATGTAACCCTAATTCGGTGATTTAGATTATATTAGGGTTCATCTAGTTTTGTTGTTCATAGTATGTTGCCTTCAACGTGGTATGACATAGATCCTTATAGGTTGTATGGTCCCTCTTAATTTTTTTGTGCTTTTCCGCATTGTACATGTAGTTATAACCTATAAAACCCATTAGAAACATCAACTCGGACACGACCCGTCTAACCCGTTTAATTATATGGGTCCGCGGGTATGTGGGTTAATGTGATGAACGGTGTGTGATTTCATTTAGAAAATAGGTTTTTTGTGCTATATATATTTAATTTAATAAAAGAATTCAATTATTATTAACTCGGTTTTTGTTTCTTACAAATTCAATCAACAATGATAACTTATTATTAAGTCGAAATTTATTTTGTTTAGTTTGTCACACCACGTATTTTTTTTTTTGTGTTTTTTTTAAGTTGTCACAAACCAAAAATATTTTATAAGCTAGTCTTTTCAAAAAACAATTCATATTAGTGTTTCAGCAAATTTATTGAGTTTTTTTAGTTCTCCAAAATATACATTTATTAATTATAAAAAGAGAAAGTGACTAATTAGTTAACTTTTCAACCATTTTCCAAAAAAAATCAAAAAATGACCAAGATAGTCATAGAGCACCTACTAAAATCTAAGATTTTTGCTAGTGATGATCTGTGAAAATTGTGTTTTTTGCCTAATGTTTAGCCTCCATAATTCTTTTATACGAACTTCGTTTTAGCTGAATTTTTTTATTGTGTTCTTTATAACAAGGGCTATCAATGGACATATCAAATTCCAAATTTGGAGGTTGTAAAGTCATACTTTTTTAAATTCAAATTAGGTTATTCGGTGAAAAAATGAAAAGTGATCCAACTTTTAACCTTCATAACTTTTGCATATGAAACTCATTTGACATAAACTTTTTACATTGTCTTCTTTGTTTTAAGGACTCAGTATATGAATATCGGGAAGTAGTACTTTGTAAACTCCAGAATAGGATAGTTGGTGTTTATGAAATTTTTCCAAATATCACTGTTTTACATATGGATAATAGGATATCGTATTTTTTCTATGTACTCTAATAAGGGTGTAACAAGTAGCCTTAACATAAAAGTGGAAATTAAGCTTAATTACATCATAATTATTAGGTGTGAGATCACCAAAAAGCCCTCTACGCATAAACAATTAGCATTGTTGCCATTCAACGTTTAAACGTAGTTGTATATCCTTAAATAAAGCTAAATATTTTATAAAAATGTATTTACCTCTATTGAATCGATTTTTGTATTAATTTTGAGCTGAAATGTTTTTTTTTTATTGAGCTGATAATTTTTTTAAAAATTATTATTTGTAACAAGGTTATGCATAGACATATTACACTCTCAATTGATGTCTATAAGTCATACTTTTTTAGTCAGGCTATTTGGTGAAAAAAATGAAGAATTTTTTCTTATAACTTTTGCATATGAACTCCATTTTGATTAAAAAAATTGTCTTTTTGTCACAATAGGTATCCATAGACATATGACACTCGTTATTTGGATATCGGAAAGTCGTACTAGTTGAAAGAAAGATGATTGTAAACGTAAATTAATCAAACTTATTATAGGAAAAGAATATGGCATTTTGGTGAAAGTGTCTAATTCAAATACAAATTGGGTAAACCCTCTGGCTTTGTGACCCTCTACGGCTCTACCCAAATGTCCCTTCATACTCTATGCACATTTCTTACTTTATTTTCTACTATGTTTTCATGATTTTTCTTTGGATGGAGTAAATTTGGTGCAGGATCTTCTAGTGTGGCATGTTTCGTTACATCGAGCATATTGTTTGATGATTGGACTCTCCCCTTGCAATGGAATATGTCAGTGACGTTGGATATTTCAAGTTAAAGTTTGTCCATTATTGTTGGTCTAACAATCATCACAAACCATCTAGGTTCTCCTAATCAAAATGGGTGACCCGAAAAATATCCAAAATTATCCAAAAAAAACTGCAGGCCTCCTAGATTTTTGTAGGTAGCAAAAATCTCAAAAAAATAAATAATAAAATAAAATGCAGGCCACCTAGATTTGAGCAGATGTTGACCTGCAAAAATTGTGGTTATGTGGGTGATTTTGCTAATATTTGGCTATTTTTTGGAATTGCTTGGTGAGATTAACCTAATGTATCATCTTCTCTTATAAAAACAAAATTGTTTTACAAATATCAGAACACACCACCGGTTTGGAGTTGAAATTTTTTCATCTTGAAGTCAAAATCTGAACAATCCATGGTCGACTTAATTACATGTGGGGTAGGAAGAGACTGAGTGGAAGTTGTGCGTCATCGTAATCAATAAGAGCCTCTAAAGAAAGTTTTAAGAACTTGCATCACACAACTGAAGTTTATGTTCGACAATTCCATTCATCGGAGCACCACTGAACTTTGGATAAATGTATACACACATTCATTGGAGAATCTACAAGTCCAATCGTTCATGGATTGTGTGCAAGTCGTTTGGAAATAACTATAGTCAACATAAACTATGAATTTTTTAAAGTTAGAACCAAAATATGAATTTTACTAAGGCATAAGGACTAATTCTGTAAATTTATTTACAAACGAAAAGGAACAAGAAAAGGAAATAAAAAGTAACACTACAAGAGAGGTACAATAAAATAAAATAAAAGTGAAATAAACAAAGGGATCTACTTGTTGGTACAATAAAGAAAGCCAAATCGAATCAACTACTACGTGTACAACCTGAGCACCACAAAAGTAAAATCCAAGCCAAGCCAAGCCAAGTGGCGCTACATTCATTTTGAGCCAGCCAATCAGCCGCCGTTGAGCCGCAGCATTTGCGAATTTTATCCGAAAACCACTCTCCATTTCATCTCAAAGACTCGAGAGAAAGAGTCCATTTGCAAGTTGACGCATGCATATATACCCGCCCCATTCTCCCAATTTGGAACCCTTTTTTTTTTTTTTTAATGTTCCAACTTTCTTTCAAGTACCACATGACTTGATCACATGTCATGGACCTCAAACTCCAACTCAAACCCAAACCCAAACCCAAACCCTCTTTCCCTTCTTCCTTATTTTAATTATATTTCTGTTTGTTCGAGTGCCTCTTTCTATACGAAATTCCCTCCATTTTCAAATATTTATTTAGGCTTCACTCAACTCAACTGTCATTCAAAATAAGATTGTTTGTTGCCGTTTCCCTCTTATCATCATCAACTACCTTTTGAATTCTCATTTCAACAACGGATACTACACTATTACTTTACTATATATATAACTTTTTAAATCAAACGTCTTTTCCCATCATCATCATCATCACCCAATCCAAACCACTTTACTTTACATGCTTCTTCTTCAAAATCCTTTCTACTCTCTTTTTTCATTAAAAAACAAAGGGTTTTTCTACTTGTTGTACTAGTAGTAAATTCTCAAAACACATTAGTTTACACTTTTTCAAGAAAAAAACCCCTCATTACCACTCTCCCTCTCCCCACACCATTCTTCAACATCAATCATTCATTCATCTTTTATCTTTATCTTTCTTCACCTAATAGCTAGTTTTGCTTTGATGATTTTTGGATGAACAAGACCATCATCATCATCATCATCATCACCACCACCATCATCATCATCCCCATCTCTTTTTCGTTTACTTGATGAAGATGGAGGCTGCATCCCAACATCATCATCATCATCATCATCACCATCTTCATCATCTTCTTCCTCTTCCTCTTCCTCTTCCTCTTCCTCTTCAACTTCGGGATCATCTTCTTCATCTCCTCCAATTACTCCATCTTCTGCCACCTGTGCAACTGGTTGTACCAGATACCCTGTACCTACATCCTCATCTTCTTCCTCTTCCTCTTCCTGTGTCACCATTCAAACAAAAATCACATCACAAACTTACACAAAAATCCCATATATCATTTTGCCCCCAAAAAAAAAAATCTTGTTTTCCAATATATGTGAGATTTGAACATAACCCACCTTGCAAAATAACAGTTTACATACAATGTATCATAAAAACTGAAGCTTGTTATTATCAAGTTCCTAAAATTCATTATGGAAAATCAAAAACAAGAAATAACAGATTTTGGCATGATAATCCAATTAGAGCAGAAAAAGGATCTAAGCTTTCTAATAATATCCAATATCAGAGACAATAAAAACCCATTTCACCCTAATCATTATCAGACAGATTCATCAACAAAATATAACAGAAAGTTTATATATTTTATCTTGTTATTTTACCTTCTACCCACACAATGGAAACCCCAAATAAAAAACACCCAAAAGAAAGAAAGTTTTAGAAACCTTTTAATGTTATACAAAACCCACCTACTTAAAACTGTAAAGATGCACCAAAACCACATTTAAGACAGTAAATTGAAATTTAAAAATTGCTTCTAAATAACAATCACCAAAAACTATGGGCTTATGGTATGAATACTAATAAATATTATCAACAAATCATATCAGATGAGATAAAATGAGATGAGATGCAGCAATCATAAAAGCAGATCATGGTGAAAAAATATTAAAGCAAGGAAAAGAGATACTACCTCATCCTCAGCCTCTTCATCGTCTTCAAAAACACCAATTTCCTCTTCTCCAGTTTCTCCATCATCATCTTCGTCTACATCTTCCTCTCCTTGTTCATGCCCATCAATCTCACCTTCTGTGCTAGTTAACCACCCTGTACTCCCTGGCTCAGTGACATCTTCATTATCAACCTCCTCATCGTCATCCTCTTCATCGTCATCTTCAACCCCATCTTCTTCATCATCGCTATCTTCAATCTCATGAACTTCAACCACATCGTCCTCTTCCTCGCCTTCACCATCGCCCTCACCCTCTTCATCGATCTCATCTGAATCATTATCATCGTCGCCATCATCATCGTCGTCTTCAACATCAACAGATTCGGCATGAAAACCATTTGCCTGACCAGCCAACGAATTTGACGCGTTCCCATTAGACCCTCTCACAATCTCAGCCTCTTCCTCATCTGCATCGCTTTCATCGTCTTCATCCACATCAACTACACCATCTTGCCCGATGTTATGTCCATTAGCCAACCTATTCGGACCCTTTTCCTCACCATCGATCTCCCCGCTTCCAGGATCGTCCTCCTCCTCCTCTTCGTCGTCATCTTCATCCTCGTCGTCGTCATCCTCGTCGTCTGATTCAGGCCGCTCGTTCTCATCAACGTCCATCTTATCTAAATACTTCAACGATTTAATCAACCCAAACACTCTAGATCGGTAATCTTTAACCCTTGTAACCGGACACTCATACAGATCAAGAGAAACAAGCCTTAGCTCAGCCAAAGGCCTCAAATCGTCTATCTCTTGAATCCGATTATTCGACAAATCGAGGTCCCGTAACGAATCCAAACCAGCGTGAACCAAAAATTCCAAACCGCCGGCGATCCGGTTGTCTGATAAAATCAACTTCTGGAGGTTTTGTAAGCGCGGGAACTGTTCAAGTGATGAAACACCGATGTTTGCAATTGATAGATGTTGTAGATGAGGAAACTTCTGGAATAGAGACGGATGTGGTAGACGACCGTGCACGCACTTCACCGCTCCGTCGAGCGTTAACGTCCGGACCGATGCCACATCTGTTTGGCCGTCTAACGCTGTCTCCACCGCCCTCTCCCAGATCTCGTCCATCAGCGGCTCAAATTTAAGTTTTTTACCAACACGAATGAAAACCTAACAGAATCGATATCATAAATTACAACCCTAACTGATTAGATGACAAGTGTCTAACCCTAATTTCTGCAGAAATCAACACCAAAACTGCTTAAACCCTAATTTTTCCGGTGTATATTCTCCCTAAAACTTTCAGATTGTACCTCTGAAAATCTGATAATGGAGCCCCGAGTGATCACACAATCATATTGCTTGGGTTAAACAAACCTAACCCTAGAGTTTAGATATTTTGTCTGGTTGTGGATTGGAATGGAATTGTCATCGTCGGATCGTGAAGGCAAGGATCGCTGACGTGTGAAATATCAACGGTGGAGATGAGCGCATGGTGTGTTTGTTGGCTCTCACGAAAACTAGAGGCCTTAGGAATATGCCTCTAATATTCTAAATATTTACAATTCTGTCACTTTGGTCATTGTTTCAGCATACGACTAGTCGACTATACGAGTAATTCCTAAATTACTATAAATACTGAATTGTTTTTGTACAAATCTAATTAGATTTTGTATGTTTTATCGATTCAAAATATGTATAGTTTTGATAATATATGCTGGTAATCGACATAAAATAAAATTTAATCAAGCATGGTTTTATAGAATATCTTAACTCTTGTAGCAACAACATCAACAGCAAACTTCCGAAATCCATTATAATTGGACAGCAATCATTCCTACACTGGGGGTAAAGGTTTGTGTCATGTAGATGGTATTCGGATGTGCAAAAGGAGAACTTGTAAAAAATAAAATAAGAGCAAATTAAGTCGAGCAGTAAGACGTGATAATGGATAAATCGTAATACAAGTGAAGGAATATGATAACCTTCAAAATAGACGAATAAGGGGATAGTAAGGCCCTGTTTGTTTACCTCTTAATTGAAAAATTAAGAGGTAACATCTTAAAAATTCAGATATGGCTTGTTTGTTTACCTCTTATTAATTACATCTGAATTGTTTTTTTTGTACTCATTTACCCAACTAACTTGTTTCACCCGTTCACAAATAACCAACTTTACCGGTTATTGTAGGTTTTGGGTGATGTGGCATCTACGTGGCTTGTACGCTGCAATACTCATCACATACGTGGCATTGAGAAGTGTTTACATTATAAGAAGGGTGAGATACGACTGCTTATTAATTAAAACCCTAGATCGATCGATGACATCTTCTTCCTCATCCTTTTCTTCCAAACGACAAGACGAATTGCAACCAGATCATCCATGTGATTGCGACTTGCCATCTCATGTGAAGACATCAAGAACCCCAGACAATCCTGGAAGGAAATTCAGAGTTTGTCAAAACTCACTGGTAATTCATATTTTTTTACTTCTTCTTCATCCTTCAATTTAACATGTTTTTATAAATTTCTTGAAGAATGGAAAAAGTCCAAGCTGTAAATTTTGGCAATGGTTGGATGAGGATGAAGGGAGGAAAGATGGAAGAGGGCATTACAGGATGAAAGCAGAAGAAAGCTGCAATCTTACCTTGAAAATTTGTACCTTGGAGAATGAAATCAGCATATGCAGGATGAAGACTGAATAAGAGAAGAACAAGAATAAACAAGAACTTGACAAAGTCAATTGGAAATTGTTTACACATAGACTTGCATTAATTTTCTTGTTTCTCTTGTATGTCAAAATGTTGTTTTAAATTATGTATTATGATGTAGTATGACTAAATTATGTATGCTTTTGTGATGTTTTCAATGAAAAAGGTTATATTCAATCGTTGGAATGGAATTGTACATTGTAATGGAATTGTTATTAAACTTGGTAGTATAAAAGATAGTAATAAACATTTTAATGGAATTGAATCATTGTAATTGAATCATTGGAATTGAATCATTGGAATGGTAGTGTACAAAACTTGTAATGTTATTGTGAATCATTGGAATTACATTGTTCAAACAATGTAATGGAATTGTGATTACACTGTAATGGAATTGTGATTACAATTGATATTCTAAAAGATGGTAATAAATTATAAACAATACAAATGGTATTAGAAAGATGTGCAAAAGGTGGTAATACATTATAAACATTCCAGGGAACATTGACTTCAAAAGATGTGTCAAAAGTTTTACATAACATAGTTAGACATTCATTACACCTAAAAGATGTGCAAAAAGTTAAACACTACACACTTAAACATGCATTTAAGCTATTCCAACTAGTTTTCAAAAGATGTGCCAAAAGATTCCAAAGTTAAAAGATGGCAGTCAAAGATGCCAAAAACATTAACAACATTACAATAAGCCAAAAGTTAATCCAACTCATACGATTTGTCATCACTGCTTCCCTGTTTTCCCTCCCACATCTTTCTTATCTTCAGTTTTGTAATTCTTTCTGAAGGTTTCCTTGCCCTCTTTCCCACTACAACTTGAAAAGCTGGTATTTCCACTTGATCTTGAACTACAATTTGGTTAGCATCTTCAACTTGAACTTGCACTTCAGGTTCAACTTCAGCTTGAACTGCAGGGTGAACTTCAACTTGGTTAGCATCATGAACTTCAGGATGTATTTCAGGTTCAACTTCAGCTTGCACTTCATCGTGAACTTCATGTTGCACTCCATCTTGGACTTCAGGTTCTACTCCATCTTCAACTTCAGGTTGCACATCATCTTCAAATTCAAGATCAAAAGAGTCAACATCACTTTCAGGTTCTATTTCAACTTCACTGTCACTGTCAATATCAACTTCATGTGCCAATGCATTATCTTCAAATGCAACCATCACTTTACCTGTTTTGCATTACTTGAAAAGTTAAGTTATGCCAAATATGTTAAGTCTGAAAAAAATGCTTTACTCCAAGTTTTAGGGTCCCTTTCCATCAAATGGTCATAAGCTAGTGGCTCTAATTTCTTGATTTCATTCATGGGTTGTTCAAATTTTGCAGGGGTAGTAGCTGCAGCAGCATACCAGAAAAGCTTTCTAAACAGTTGGCCCTTAAACCTTTTCATGAAGTTAGCACATATGTGCCTAGTACATTGCCTATGCTCTGCTGCTGGGACCCTTTCCTTCACAGCCTCAAGTAATCCCTGTTAGCAATAGGCACAAAACTTAAACAACAAAAACATAACATAAGCTAAAATAAAGATGGAAATAATAGAAATTGATTACTTTGTGTTGGTCTGATATCAAGGTTAGTCCATGCCCAACTCCCATTCCAAGGTCCTCAATTAGAAGGTCAATAAACCACTTCCATGTTTCTTTACTTTCCACTGATACAACAGCCCAAGCAATGGGATATATATGGTTATTTGCATCTCTACCTATAGCAGAGAGCAACTGACCTCTACATATGCCCTTTAGGAAGCAACCATCTAGTCCAATTACCCTCCTACAACCTTCAATCCATCCATCCTTCAATCCTTTGAAACATACATAAAACTTTGAGAAATATGTGGTTCCATCAGGCATGACATCTACATCCATCTTCACTGTTGATCCAGGGTTAGTCCTTCTTATCTCTTCTCCATAGCTCCATGTTTTTGCATAATGCTCTTTCAAAGTACCCTCTATCTCCTGAAATGCATACTTCCTTGCATTTCTGCATTGACCAACACTTGCAATCAAATTAAATTTCTTGCTGACTTTAGCTTTCAACTTCCTTATACTCATCTTTGGTTTCTAAAGTATATGATTCATGAAATGCTTTGCTATCCATTTATAGGTAACAATGGACCCAAATTTGAACACTCTTGCACAATTATGCATATCATTTAGAGATTTAATCTGGAATGATTTTTCACTGCTCATCCAGGTTGCCCACAACCTAAAGGGACAACCTTTACCCTGTTTATTTGTCTTACCTTTACAACATTTTACCAATAACCTTTCATGATCACTTTTCTCATACCATAAATCATATCCATTTTTTACTGCATAGTTGGTGATACACAACTTCAATTCCAATGGATTAGAAAACTTCATACCCAAAACTGGCACCATTTGCTCCCATTCTTGATTCTCATTATGGACAGGGAACACAACATCCTTAAGCTTCCCATTGTTTGCTTCCTCTTCATCATCATCACTAATATGCCCTAAAAGTTTGTCCAAGAATGGGTCTCCAACAATTTTATCAAAAGTATGTTCCTCTTCATCATCCCATTCATGTTCATATTCCATTGTCATTGTCACTTCAGAATCCTTGTCATCCTCTTCATCCATATAATCCGACTCATACCCTTTACCATCTGCTAATAACTCGTTATCAGCCCAATCAAGAATTGGTTCATTTCGGTGGTCAATGTACACATCTAACTCACTCTGAAGACTATCACTCTCCAGACTATAAACAGTTTCCACAAACTCCCAATAATCAGCATCACAGGCGATTCTTCTAATACCCTCACACAAGCTTTCCTTTCTCATACAGTAGTAGACATTATCACAGGCTCCATTGGTTAATTTCGTAAGCCACAAAAGAAACTCTTTATACGTAAATCCCCCAAAATCCACATCACGTACATTTGTTTTTACGGGGTCTAAGTACACCAATGGGTTTGGCGAAAAGAATCCATTGTAATGAAAATCTACATATACATACATACCTGTAGATGAGGATGCCATGCTAGCAGTCGACTTCAATTCCAACTTCAATTTCAAGCCCTAATCGTCGATTTGATGTATCGATTGATTTCTCACAGAAGAAGGTAATCGAGGTGTGTTAGCTGACGATGACGAACCCTAATTAAATGAGAAAGGGGTGTAATGGCCACGTAATATTCCACGTAATGTTTTCAACCCAGCTAAATCAATGTTACCGGCTAAAACAGGTAATAGCCGGTAATGTTGGTTATTTTTGAACGGATGAAAAAAGTTAATTGGGTAAATGAGTACAAAAAAAAACAATATTACCTATATGTGAACATTTGAAATACTTAATTACCTTAATAAGTCAAATTCCCCTTAAAAAATCAGACTTCATATCACATCTGAAAAATAAAAAAGACGGAAGTGCCCTACCCTAAAAACCACGCTCTTCTTTTCTTCCCAGCACGCCTCCATTATGTTCTTTCTCATCGACGCACACACACAAAATCCGTTCCTGCCATCGACGATCTGGTAAAGCTCGTCACTGCCATCGCCGTCGCTGACGTCTTCTCTACCTCCGGCGACTGCTGCGCCTCCGGCAGCTTTGCCTCCCAAGACTTCTGCAGGCAATTTCTTCGCCAATATGTTGTTTTCTTTTCTTGCTATGTGCGGTTTTTCTTGATAAATCTGATGAAATTGGTTTTTCCTCTTGGTATGTGCTGTTTTCTGCAAATGTTGATATGGGTTGAATTCTGAAATATAATTTGATGATCTTGTTGTTTTTATTGATTTATGAAATGTATGTGTGTATAGTTGAAATATGTTGCTGAAATTTACTGAGTTTGTGTTTATTTGTTGAACAATATTGCTGAAAATGTGTTCTTTGTTCTAATTTGTTCTTTTTTTGTTGATATATATGTATGTATAGCTGAAATATATTGTTGATCTTGCTGATTTGTGCTGAAATCTGATTCTTGATCTTGTTGAATTATGTGTTCATTTGCTGAAAATGTGTTCTTTGTTTTTTATTGTGCTGAATTTTGTTATGTGCTATATTATCGTTGAATTCATTTGCTGAAATGAAATTATGAAATTGAAATATTTGTGTATGTATAGCTGAAATTGAATTAATTTGCTGAAATTGAGTTCATTTGCTGAATTCAATTGTTATGGGTTGTTTGTTCGTTTGGGTTTTTTTTTTTAAAATTTGGGTTATGATAGTGATTAATGGGTAAGATGATGGTTTAAGATCATGTTTCCAATTTGACGGTTTCATCACATATGTTTCTAAGGTAATGAGAATGAATTGGCGTTGGAATGGAATGGAATTCAACTTGTGAAGAGTTTCTGTTTGTATGTAATTAGATGCATGGCTAGATAGAATTATAGATTTGTATTAAATTTAATAAATAATTATTCATATATTTATATTTGATTTGGATTGATGTTTAATTTTGATTGATTTAATTTGGATTTTATATTTTTTTCTATATAATTATTCAAGAAGTTGATTTGGTTATTTTATAAACAAAAACATTGAATTCAACAAAAATAATACAAAAGGGTAAAATTGTCATTTTTATCATTCAGCACTGTAATTCAGAGGTTCAAACCAAACAGCATTTCAAAATCCAGATCTTAAAAATTCAGACCCTCTTAGAAATTCAGACCTCTTGAAAATTCAGATCTTAAAAATTCAGATCCTACCAAACAACCCCTAAGCCAAATATGCGCAGTGAAATAATATAGGAAATAAAATCATAATACAAGCATGTGAACATGAAGTAGATAACAACAATAAATATTAGAAATTGAAACAAATAGGAGGTCTAGGGTTGATCATTTACCCTAATATGTAGGTTTCATTTCCTCCAATATGATATAATGTCATCGGAAAGAACAAATTCATTCATGTATAGCATTACATTATCATCTTACTTCCTTCTAGGATGTCATCTCCTTTTTTTACCATTAATTGTCATTAACTATACTATCCTCACAGTCGTTGATGGTGGTCTCTTTATAACATGTTAATATCACCTCAATCGGCATTCCCTATTTTTCTTTTTATTTTTTTGCGTCACTCTCAAAGAATTGCTTATAGTCGCATTCAGTATCATATCCAGTAAAGTTTTCCACACATCCATACCCCTCCTGGTGGATCATAGTCCATAGATCCCAAATACTTGAAGCTCTCCATCAGGAATAACGTTTCATCCCTTATACTTACATATACTCCTTCATCGTTTGCCTCAATACTTAAATTTCACACATGATAACTTGTTTTTTATATTGTTGGTTTGTATCCTTTTATCTTATAACGTCAGCCTATGGTTGTCTAATCAAGCATTCAACTCGATTACCAACACAATTTCATTGGTAAAAAAAATGTACGTCAAGGTACTTCTTCGGTATCTCTTTGGGAATATTGTCCAATATCAAGGTTGTTGATATGTTTTTTCTCTTCAAACATGCTACTACAATTATAGGCTCATGTTATTGGTTTAATGTCGACTTTGTTCTAGTTTTTGGTGAATCCAGAAAACAAAATTGCAATAATCAAAAAGTTATTTCACCCGATTTCATATTTCATCATTTTGACTTTCATGACATTGTATTAATGTTGTTATTATTTGACCTAATGTTTATTTTTATCTTCAATCATCATAATTGGACAAGCATGTAAATTTTGATCTTAAATATCATGTACAACATAAAGTAAGGGAAATATAAGCCCATAGGTTTACAAATCCATAAGAAATAGGTTAGAAGTTTCATGTGATGCCATATAAATGGTAAAGTGAATTACAAAGTAAGCTACAAAGTCATCAACATCACATTATAAAAGTTTTAACATTGAAATGCCTCTATATATCACATGATGGAAAGTTATAAGGTGCTATAATGTTTCGGTACTTTTGTTGATGCACAAAACAATTTAATAACAAATATGGTGCGGAGATATAGTCAATAAGCAGATGTAACTTTTCAATGATTCATTTTATTTCAATTTACTCCAATATTCATGAAGACCATGAACAAGGAAAGTAGGGAAAACGAAGGATTACAATGAAAGGAATGATGTTTTGTGCACACATGATCCTTGTTAGGTTCTCTATGCATCTAAACACATTATCGTGGCGTAACGGAAACATATCAAAATCCTATGTGTTAATGCAACCTAAGGATCTAAGTTTTATATTATTATTGCTATTGATGAATCTCGAGCTTCAGGAGGGGCTAGTTAATCGTATGTAAGGTAATATATGTTCGTCCGAAATACAACCGAACCTGAGAAAATAGAGTAAACATTAGAAGTTAACCGGGTGCCTAACCGAAGAGAACGCTCTGATGCTTAAGTTAGATGCAAGATATGGGTAATCATAATCGAATCGTAAGTGAGATGTGGTTATCGAAATCATACCTATTCGTGGTTGAGTTAGTCTGCTTTTATACTTCCTTTGCATGGAAAAATGGAGACGATGACGAGCCGAACAGGTCCCCGTCTCATCGTCATTAATGTGCCCAGTGTCGAAGGTACAAAAAAGTACTTATGGATTGTCGGTAGTCTTGTCATTCTCGTTATATAAGTTGTATCGAACCGTTGGTCCATGACAGGCTATTTATGTGGTGATCCCTAGGTTTCCTTGACTTGACACTCGTGAATGCTAGTTCAAAATGTTTCTCGCAAGTCAAGTGATTCAACCTCGTCTTCTCGCATTTGGCCTTCCACAATACACTCGTTCAGACTGTAAATCAATGGTTCGGATTCGGCTCGACCGAACCACTTCTGTTCGGAGGTGACATACCTCATTAAGCCCCCAAAGTTCGAACTATTTTTAATAATCCGAATCTACTTCACGTTTATTGACATCGGGTTCAATTAAATAGACTTGACTGTCAAATCAAGTATTAGATTCGACTGTTTCGCATCCCTACGGATAATCATTGCCTATCTTATTACTGTTACTTTGAAATTACAAACCGCCCCTTATTTATCGGGTACCATTGGATCGTTTTTCTTCAACTACCTATTTGATTTTAACTTCCATCTTATTTTGAGCCTTACTTTCTTTTCGGATTCTTCATTCACTGATTTCTTCCTTCATCCTTTTATCATCGCAAAAGATAATCATCTCGTCCGCACAACTTTCTCCACTTTGACTCAAGGGTTACTCTATAAAATCATAAAGTCTTTCCACATCGATCCCCAATTCAAACCTATATGTCCTTCTAAGGACCAACCTATCACCATATCTCTTCAAGGCTATGTTAGTGTTTACACTGTGTTCTTCAGGTATAGGCTTTGCCTACCCGCCTTTGAATTCCTAAACTCAATCCTTGGGTACTATAAACTCCACATTTCCCATATTACCCCCAAAGGCTTCAATAATATCATGTGTTTCGTGTTGCTGAATAGAGCCCTTAATATGGTTTCGTCTTTATCTATGTTTCGCTATTTTTACGTGGCCATGGCGAGGGGCGATTGGGTTTCTTTTTCTTTTCTCTCCAAATCTATTGAGATATGCGACGGGTTGCCCACCTCTATCAAGAAGTGTAAGATCAAGTTCTTCTTTGTAGACGCGTTTGCTTTTGGGCTACCTATGCAATTTGAAAGCCGTTTAAATCGTGATCATGACTCGAACCCCGAACTTACTATAGACGAGCAATCCACCGTAGACCCATTGGTGGCTAATTATGTTAAATGGTATGACCCCAATGACTCAACTCTCGAACTTCCCATATGTCATCGACATACCTCCTGTTATGGCTCTCCGTGGCCAATCCAACACGCTCCTTTAATGCATTCTCTAGAGGCGTAATGCCCCTTCTTCCAAGGTTGTTGAGGGGCCAACCACGAGATTCAAAACTCCCATTGAAGGTAAGACAGTATTAGAGTCTGAATCTAGCATCGATTCCCATGCACAACCCAAGTATGATGATCCCGTTGTGATCTCGTCATCTCCCTTCTAAAAAAGAAAAAAAGAAGAATGATCGGTCTCAAGGTAAATCACTAGCTTACTCTTTACCTCAGCCTAAATGAAAGACAAGTACCTCTTTAAAGCGCAGGAGAGATCTTTTGTAACATCCCAAAAATACAATCCAAAAATTTCATTTTTCAAATCATTAATTAAAACATAATTACTAAAAATCATGTCTCCAAAATATAAATCATAATATCTAAAATGTCAAAACATTATAACCATATCAATCAAATATCAAATGAATCAGAGTAAAATATCCCAGACTGAAAACTGTGGTGTGTGCCATGCAGTCATCCCGAGCTCTTCCCCTTGCTACCGGAAGTACCTGAACCAAAACTGAAAACTATAAGCACGAAGCTTAGTGAGTCTCCCCAAACTACCACATACCATACATATAAACACATAATAGCATACATTAGGCCTTGCCCACTACATCGGGCCCCGCTCGGCATCGGACAAATACGGCATCGGGCCCCGCCCGACATCGGATCGAATTCTGGTATACATATAACATAGCAACAGGCATATAACACATAAACATATAAACATTCCTCGGGCTTGCCCCTACATCGGACCGAAGTCCAGAACACATAACACATAACATATAAGCTAAACATTCCTCAGGCTTGCCCCGACATCGGACCGAAGTCCGAAACACATAAACAAACACATGCAAGAATCACGAAGACATCAAGCATACAAACATTCCCCGGGCTTGCCCCGACATCGGACCGAAGTCCGGAACATATAAGCTACATCGGGCTAACCCCGGCATCGGACCTAAGTCCAGAATATGATAACATACATAAACGGGCCGACATTGGTGCCTTCGACCCATTCCTACTAGATGAAAACTCACCTCTCAAGTTGGCTGCTGAAATCTCAAGTGAGAAATCTCTGATGGATGCTCCAACGAATCCCCATCTATAAATTCACAAGGAACACTTAGTCAAAAACTGAAAATCCTTCTAAGGGTAAAATGACCATTTTACCCCTGGTCAAAGTCAACATTCTCGTCAAAGTCAACGTTCTGGGTTGACCCGACTCGCCGAGTTGCTCCATCAACTCGCCGAGTCCTAAAACCCTGAAATCACGATCTAACTCATCGAGTCACCCCCCTGACTCGCCGAGTTCCCTGACTACTAATGGTCGCGATTTGGCGAATCAACTCGTCGAGTTACCCTCAGACTCGACGGGTTCTACCATCACAGAAATCGGGACAACACGACTCAACTCGTCGAGTTCCTCTATGGAATCGACGAGTTCCTCTGTCTGTTTAGGCCATCTTAATGGGTTAAGCCTCTACTCTTCAGATCCAAACACCATAACTCCTATAAGTATGTAAATGCCTTCTTAAGGGTAAAGTTTCAAACTTTACCCGCTTATAGTCCTTCTTAATGGGTTCAGCTCAAACCCTAGTTCTTTAGGACATAGATATCTGTCCAAAAGCCTTATTACTCCAACCCAGAGCATGAAAACCCAGATCTAGGTCCTAAACACCCAATGAACACGTAAAGTCTCGGACTTTACTTCCATGCATGGCCCTTTTGGGCTTAAAAGGCCATAAAAACGTCCTTAAGCTTGCATGGGGCTTACATGGTCATAAAGTTTGCACCTTTATGCCATGACACCCCTTTTAGATCCCAAATCTTAAAGGTAATCCACTTGGGACGTCCATGTCCCAAGGACCATGGTTCTTGAACCAAAACCTCCCCATAAATGGACATAAGAAGATCTAATGAACTAAAAGCCAAGATGGACACTTGATTACCAGAAAATGATGAGGATGGAAGGAAGTTTATGGATCTAATATCTTCTCGTTGAGCCTTCTAACTCCTTATTCTTCTTCAAGCTTCAAGAACACACAAGATTACTCACAAATGGCTCACACACTCACAAAATGCTCTAGGGTTTCGTGGCTTAGGGTTTGGGACTTGGAGGCTGGAAATGAGGCCGTAAGGTGGGGATTAAGTTGCTTAAATAGGGTGCAAAACCCCGAAATTAGGGTTTCATTCTAGCAGGCCTACTCGCCGAGTTGAGGGCTCTCAACTCGTCAAGTGGATGGCTTAAAAACCGCGTCCAATTTTTCTTCTACTCGACGAGTCTGGGGCTACCAACTCGTCGAGTAGCTCTACAAAAATGAACAAATTACAATTAAATGTGTACCAGGAATAAGGCGTTACAATTCTCCCCCACTTGACTTAGACTTCGTCCTTGAAGTCTGATGCATCTGGAAACAACTCTGGGTAGTGCTCCCTCATCTCCTCCTCGGGCTCCTAAGTCCACTCTGAACCCATGCGATGCTGTCACTGCACCTTCACCAGCTCAACCCTTTTGTTCCTCGGCTCCTTTGTCTTCTTATCGAGAATAGCTACCGGTCTCTCGATGTAATCCAGGCTGTCATTAACCTGAATGTCCTCTATAGGCACAACCGTTGAGTCGTCCACTAAGCACTTCCATAGCTGGGAAACATGGAAAGTGTTGTGGATCTGGCTGATCTCTGTTGGAAGATCCAATCGGTACGCCATCTTGCCCACTCGGGTTGTAACCCTGAAAGGGCTGATATACCTGGGACCCAGCTTACCCCGCTTCCGGAACTGGATGGCACCTGTCCAAGGTGACCCCTTCAGGAGGACCATGTCCCCACCTGAAACTCCAAGTCTGAACGCCGCTTGTCGGCGTAGCTATTTTGCCGACTCTGAGGAGTTTGGAGCCTACTCCGGACTTGCTGGATCCGCTCTGTAGTCTTGAGTACTACCTCAGTACTCCCCATTACCCTCTAACTGACCTCGCCCCAACAGATTGGGGCCCTACACTTCCTCCCGTAGAGTGTCTGGAAGGGAGGTCGGTCTATGCTGGCGTGGTAACTGTTGTTATATGAAAATTCCGCTAACGGAAGATACGTATCCCAACTGCCACCAAAATCCAAAACACATGCGCGAAGCATGTCCTCAAGAGTCTGAATCGTCCTCTCGCTCTGTCCGTCCGTGTGGGGGTGGAAACCGATCCATGATGACCCATATCGAATCAACTCCATGTGCGGTCCTGGGAATCTTAGTAATGAAATCCATAGTAATGTCCTCGCACTTCCACACAGGAATATATAACGGTTGTGTCTTGCCGTGAGGCCTCTGTTGCTCTGCCTTGACCTTCCTGTAGGTCAGATATCTCTCAACGTACCAAGCTACATCCCGCTTCATGCAGGGCCACCAGTAATCAGGACGAAGATCTTTATACATATCCGTCGCCCCGGGATGGATGAAGAACCTGTACTCGTGGGCCTCATCTATCAGAATATGTTGCACTTCGCCCTAGTACGGTACCCAGACCCTCCCATGCAGGGTCAACAGCCCACGACTGTCGTAATCAAAGGAGGCCACCTGGCCTATGATCCGTTCGCACTTCCGACGCTCCTCCTTCAGGCCCTCACCCTGTGCCTCTCTGATCTGCTCCAGCAAAGGGGTAATCACTGTCATCCTCAGACAGATGTCTCGAATCGGGGCCGCTACCGCCTTGAGGCTCACGGAATCGGCCACCACGTTGGCCTTGCCCGGGTTGTAAAAGATCTCACAATCGTAGTCCTTCACCACATCTAACCACCGACGATGCCTCATGTTCAGATTCGGCTGATCCATGAGGTACCTCAAACTTTTGTGGTCAATGTATACGGTACAACGGACCCCATAAAGGTAATTCCGCTAAATCTTGAGGGTGAAAACCACAACCCCCAGCTCTAAATCATGCATCGGATAGTTAGCCTTGTGAGGCTTCAACTGCCTTGAAGCATAAGCTATCACGTGACCCCGATGCATCAAAACTGCACTCATGCCTATGATAGAAGCGTCACAATAAACCACAAAGTCATCGAATCCCTCTGGAAAAGTCAGGATAGGTGCCTCACATAACCGCTGTTTGAAAGTCTCTAAGGCTGCCTACTGCTCAGGCCCCCAGCGGAAGGTCACAGACTTCTTGGTCAGTCGGGTCAAAGGAACTACGATCTTGGAAAAGTCCTGAATAAATCTTCGGTAATAACCCGCTAGACCCAGGAAACTCCAAATCTCAGTTGGAGACCTCGGAATCTCCCACTACATCACGACCTCAATCTTGGCCGTATCGACCGGAATACCCTTCTGGTTGACAAGGTGCCTAAGAAACTGCACTTCGCGCAACCAGAATTCACATTTGGAGAACTTTGCAAAAAGTCTCTCCCTCCTCAGTGTCTCCAGCACCTCCCACAGGTGCTCCTCATGCTGCTCTTGAGTCTTGGAATAGACCAAGATATCATCGATGAAAACTATCACAGACCGATCCAACATCGGTCTGCAAACGCAGTTCATGAGGTCCATGAACGAGGCTGGAGCATTGGTGATCCCAAACGGCATCACCACAAACTCATAGTGACCATAGCGAGTCCTAAAAGTTGTCTTCTGCATATCCTCATCTCTAACTCGCATCTGGTGATAACCCGACCGTAGATCAATCTTGGAGAACCAAGATGCACCCTGTAGCTGGTCAAACAAATCATCTATCATCGGAAGGGGATAACGGTTCTTCACCGTTACCTTATTTAGCTATCGGTAGTCTATACACATGCGATGTGACCCGTCCTTCTTCTTCACAAACAGGATCGGGGCTCCCCATGGCGAACAACTCGACCTGATAAATCCATTGTCTAACAGCTCCTGCAGCTGCGTAGACAACTCTTGCATCTCGGGAGGAGCCAGCCGGTATGGTGCCTTGGCTATCGGAGCCGCACCAAGGATTAGGTCAATCCTAAACTCAACCTGTCTCTCCGGAGGTACCCCAGGTAAATCCTCCGGGAATACCTCCGGGTACTC